CGACAATCCACTCCAACCCAGAACACCCTCGAGCTCCTCCCTCAACTCCCCAACACCATCATATCCTCCCTTACCCGCAATCTCCGCCCTCTTCGCAGCACTAAGCTCAGCCCACCTCGCCAGAACAGCACCGTCCACAATCGCCCTTCCACCAGCTGCTTCTACGCCTACAGGTCGTATACCATCTGGTAATCGATGCGCTTTGGCGTTCAATCCGCCGTGCGGTGTAAGTGCGGGGAGGAGCTGGTTTGTTACGGAGAGGAGACGACGGTATGTTGTCTCCGGGAGGGGGACGAGTGTTGATAGGTGGCCGGATGAAGAGGCGAGGAGGAGGATGTGAGGAGGGTCCTGGGGGGAGGGGTGGGAGGGTGGTAGGGTTCGTGGGAGGAGGAGTGTTGTTGAGGGGGGGTTGGGGGAGACGGAGAATGAGGTTCTATGGAGGAGGAGATGGCCCTGAAGAGATTTAGGATCTGTAGTTTGTTAGTACTTGATCAGTCTATGTGAAGGAGAGAACTTACGCTCGGGGTTGAAGTCGAGAATATGTAAATCACCATCCGCATCCGCCGCAACAATAGCCAGATCTTCACCATCGGGCAAGAAATCCGCAACCAGAACCGGTAACCGGCCATGGCTCTTACCCAAGACCTTGAAAGTATACGGCTCCTCCGTGTATCCCGCAAACCAAACCCCCTTGAACACGTCAGCCATCAGACACAACCCCGTGCGCGGCAGTTCCCTCGCAGTAGATACGTGACAGCTCATGTCGAGGAACGCAACAGGCAAAAGGGACCCGTCCTCCTTCAGACCGCGCACCATGCACTTTTGCCCCTGCGCGACGAGCATGAGGCCTTGTGTGCCGATCTCTGAAATGGCTGTTACGCCGCCGCGGGGAATGTCTTCGCGCGCGATGGCTTTGAGACGCTTGTTGGTCTCTGGTCTGCCGGGCTCGGGGATGACGGTCACGATGTCAAAGACGTGGACGCGCCCGCGGATGGGGAGGTCTTCACCCTTTGAGACGGCTGTGCCGACTGTGACGAGGAAGCGACGCTCTTTTGTATCTTCTGAGACTTCGAGGTGTAGTGTTTTCATGCACTCGATGGATTCGCAGGATTCAAGCTCGACTTCGTGGATGACGGTCCAGCTGACTGGGCTGATGAGCTTGAGAACGCCGCGGGGCATGGTTGGTGGGAAAGTGAGTGTTTCCTTGGCCCACTCTTTGTGATAGTCGTCGTCCTTGGGGAGTTCAAAGGGCTCGCTTATCATACAGCCTGCGATGTATGCGCCTGTTGGCTGGTGATATGCGATGCCGCGTACATCAGCGCCCAGAGGGACTTTTTTGACTGAGATACCAAGCTCGGTGAAGTTGGTATCTGATGGGAGTTGGGTTACTCGAGCAATGCCCTTGTTATCGGCGTAGATGAAACCACGATCACAGCCTTCTGTGTGGAATGTGCTCATACCGCGAACGCCGATGCCTTGAAGACCGATCACGCGGGGGATGCTCTTGCTGGACTTTATGACGAAACTTGGTGAAGAACCGGGAAGGAAGACGGTGCTGTAGCCGTTGATGTTTGCGCATGGTCGGAGAGGGACGAAGCGTGGTTGTTCGACGTCGTCTTGCTCTGTCTCCACGGGGATAGTGGCTAATGTTGTGTTGGAAGTCTTCTTGAAGGTGAGAGTGGTGGAGAGGCTGGTTTCGCCTTCTCGTATATGGCGAAGAGGTTCATAGATTGTGAGATCGTCGGTTTGGTTGCGGAGCTGGTCATATTAGAGAAGTTTAGTGAGGGCAAAGTGGAACTCACGATGAGGTATGGCGATTGAGATGTAGTGTCGCCAAGATCAGCGACAAGAATCTCGCGGAGGTTCTCTTTTGCTAGACCACGTCGCAATGTGTAGTCTGCTGAAAGGTGAGGGGGTACATAACAGAGACCTTCGGCAACGTAAACGGGCTTGGAGAGGTCGGGGAGCGCATAGACCTGTTCCATTAGTAGCTGATCTCCGAGAAACAGGACTGAAACTTACATGTAGTGCACCAGTCGAACTGAGCAAGAACATCATGATCTTCTCAGTCTCTGCACCCTTGTCGCCGGCACTCGGTTGGAAAGCACCCTTTGTATCCGCATACAGACATCCAGAGTGCCACTTGGTATTCTGCAGAGTAGCATCCATCTTTTCCACTTCCTCCAGCTCATTGTTGCTGTCGATTTGTGCCAACATAAGACTGCTGTCGTCGCGGATGAGTAGGAGGTAAGGATCAGCAATGCTGGCGCTGGTGACTCGAGGTTCAGCACCGGTTTCTTCATCAAGCATCGGCAGGATCTGAGTGAGGCCGAGATCTAGAATTGTCAGTATGTGCGAATGTGATCCAAGCAAGCAACTCACCTCCATCGTAAGATCGAACCTCGGACTTGAGGACTTGGATGATCCTCATCTGCTTGCCCATCGTTCCAGCTTCAACGGTGAATCCAGCCGCTGGGTCAAACTCAGTGTCCTTGAGCGTCTCGAATCCCGCGCCCGTAAGAGCATACACATCTGATGTCTCATAACCGTCGAGATCGACCTTAGCCACGATCATGTACTTGTCATGCTGTCCAAACGTCTCGTACTCGTTGCCCACGCCGACATTTCCACCGAGAGCCTTGGGCATTGGCTTCTTGACAGACATGGTCCAGAAGCCCCTTGCTTCAGGGAATTCGAACCTTCCAATGATCTTGGGCTGAATGTTGCGGTTGAGAAGGGCCAGTGAGCCGGCTTTTCCGCGTCCGACAACGCATGCCAGATGGAGATCCGAAACGACGCCTTGTGACAGAGTCGCTTCTTCACTATCAGGATGGAGCGATATCTTGCCAGCTGTCAAGTCCTTGATCGGAGCGATGCTGAGCAGGGTATCGTGAATGCGGAAGCTCAACTCGCCCGCCTTAGCTCCACCATTGAGAGCCTGAGCCGGTTTCGCGACTGCAGACTCGGTGCCGTACAAATCGTCGTCCTCGTCGTCTTCATCCTCGAGATCCAGATCATCCATTTCTAGCCCAATCTCCGCATCGATGAGTCTCGGTTTTCGTCTCTTCTCTTGTCCCATCTTTCTCGTCCAGCCCAACACCACAGAGTCGCCAACTTCACTACCCACGAAGTACGCATTCTTGCCAAGTTTTGACGCTGTCGATGCCCGGCTCTTGATCAGATTGCCGCCGTTCTCATCTGCGACCATCCTGACGGTAAGACCAGAGACTGTTCTGCCATCAATCTGGAACGTGACTATTCCAATGCGACCATCGTTGAGAACGAGCAAGAGCTCGCCGTTCTCAATTGAAAGTGTCTCGATGACACAGTGCTCCAATCGTAGGTTAAGATCCGCCTGATCTGTCAAGCTGAACGAGGTGATCTGTCGAGCCATTGGGTTCACCGCCACACCATTGGACTTGCCAGACTGATCCACATGGATCAGCTCATTCTCTCCTATCAACAATGAACCGCCAACAGGCGCTGGCAACGGGATAATCCTGAATAAGTCTCGAGGAAGGTCGGTAACTGAAAGAATAGTCGTCGAAGCACGCTGCTGCAAGTCCAATGTGAAGACCTTGTACGTAAGATGATCTCTCTGACCAAGGGAATGAGCTCGCTCTTGGCTAGACGAAAGAATACCAAAGGTTGGTTCTCTATACTCATGCAGAAAAGCGAAGTGCACGGGATGAAGCAGACTTGGATCAAGCAGCGGAAGACGGAGGACAAAAGATGGTGTATACGCTGGTTCTAATGTGTCGCTATCTCCATTGGCGACTGTAGTAGACTCCTTGACGGGTCGTGGCCCATCGAGATCCTCATCCCAATCATCCATCTCCAAGTCTTCTTCCGCTTGTCTGAATGGTAGGATCGCGAGGTTGCGCGAGCCGAACTGGAAGGCAGCGCATCGACTGCCGGGGTCGGTTTCGAGGTAATTGGTGTATTCATCGAAAGAAACCTCCCATGGCGCGCCGTGTAGCTCTTCTTTCTCGTAGTAGTGAATGGAGATGGTCTCGAGGTTGCTCTTCTCAGGATCCCATACCGCCATACATAGCTTGGCGGCTTTGTATGCTATCAGGAGAGCTTCACCTCCACATTTCGAATGCTTCGTCTTGACCTTGGCCAAACCTGTCACGGTGCCGGATAGTGGAAGCTCCGCGACGAGAACTAGCTTCGTGAGGTTCGTGCGGTCGGTTCGAACAAGCATTGTCTCGCCGCCAAGGAACGAAGACTCAAGCCCATCATCATCGTTCGCGCGGTGATCAAATTCGGGTTCAGGTTTTGCTGTCTGGGCAGGTTGGTTCTCGGGATCGAATTCGGCGGAGATGGCCTTTGTTTTAAAGATTTGGAGTAGGGAACCTTTTGCGACAACGAGATTGGTAGCTGTAGCTGAAGTGAGAGAGACAGTCAAGGAGTGTGTGACGGCTGAGGGAGCCGCAAGCTCGGTGTAGGCCTGCATTTCAGCGAGACCATTCTTTTGTGACCGACAAATTGGCTGTTTTGCTGTGGTCGTTCAAGTCGTTCGCGATGTTGCTTTATTGAATGTTTGGCCCAAAAGAGTAGAGCTCAAAGCTCCCAACGGATAATTGGCCTCCGTCTTCCGGATCGCCCTGGCCAATCGATAACGGTTAGTTGATGTTCCAGGGGTGAGGCAGAGCATCTCCACTTAGCACAAACGCTAGCGTATACATTGCGTCACGAAAACACCAGCAGCTTCAAGCTTGAGCTTGACCATTTCTGATCGAAGCCACTGAATCTTGTTTTCCTGCGAAACTTCCCTTTCTCTGATTGATCAAAGTTAATCACGCTGCTACACAGATCGACTCGTTAGCGACGTCACCCTTGGTTTGGGATTGATTGATCTCCCTTCAAAATCCCCGAGATCTGCTACTTTAAAAAGAAAAACATCCCCAAGCCACGTCGCGACCCAGTCTAGCGGATTCCCTTCGACTTGCTTGTTGATCATCATTTACAACAACAGTCTTTCAAATTAATCCAATATGGCCCACGCAGGCCTCGTCCAGACCAGTTTGATCTGGGTCGCTTATGCTGTTGCTGTCGTTCTCTGTTTCGCAGCTGCTATCATCACAACGTTTACCTGGCAAACGCCCCGCGAACGTTCCGCCGTCGTCAGCATCGTCGCCATCGTCAGCTTGACTTCTCTACTCGCTACGGTTCTACTACTGCCTGTCGATATTGCTCTCGTCTCTGCGACTGCTTCTGCAACACTGGGCGCGAAGAAGGACTGGGCTACTCCCGAACGCATCGACAGTATCCTCTACACTCTCAAGGTCGTCTACTACAGCTTGTACAGCTTCGATGCTCTCCTCTGTTTGATCGTTATCCCCTTCGCCTACTTCTGGCATGAGGAGTACGATGAAATTGAGGTTGAGGAGGAAGGCCGAACCTTGAGCAGCCGCTTCTTGGCCGCTGCCAAGTACACACTCTTCTTCGTCGCATTCGTCGTCGTTTTGTTCTTACTCGGTTTCTTCGTCCCCGCCGCCGGCGACAGCTCGGAGTCGCACTGGGATCTCGACTATTTCAAGAAGCTCGTTGCTCAGAACCATGGTGAAAAGGCGTTGACTTTTGCACTGGGTCTTCTGCTCACTCTTGGCACACTGCTCTACGTCGTTTACACCGGCGCTGGCCTTGCCCTTCTTCCCATCTCGTTCATCAAGGCAGCTCCATCGATCTCGGCCCCTCAGCTCCATCAGAATACTGCTTCTCAGCTTGAACAGAACCGCGAACGCCAGCGACAGATCGAGATGCGCAATGCTGGTCGACAAGAGGGCATGTCTCGAAAGGACCAGCGAGAGCTCGATGCTCTTGTTAGAGAGGAACAAACTCTTGTCCGACGTGAGAGACTTGCCGCTGAAGCTCAGGGCGAAGGTCGCAGCAGAATCTACCAAGCCTGGCTCAAGGTCTGCGCTGTCTTCCGCCCCATCAAGCTCCTCGGTGGAATCTTCCTCCTCCTTCTATCCCTCGTCATCTTCGTGTCGATGCTCATCACTGGCATTGACAAGGCCAAGAACTCGGTTTGCAAGGAAAAGTGCGGTTATATCCTTGGCCAGATCCACGTGTTCCAACCCATGAACTTCATCTTCGTCAAGTCCGCCAAGGCCTTCCCCGTCGACTACATCCTCATGGCTCTTCTGGTGCTCTTCTTCTTCAGCAGCTCCATCTCTGGCATTGCCACCGTGGGCATTCGCTTCCTCTGGGTCCGCATCTTCCAGATCCGCAAGGGTAGAACTGCTCCCCAGGCCCTCCTCATTGCGACTGTCATGTTGGGTCTGATAATTTTGGCCACCAACTACGGTATCGCTATGTTGGTTGCTCCACAGTACTCTACCTACGGCACCCAGACATTCTGCGCCAACGAGCCTAAACATCCTGGAGATCAGCCAGACTGCCGAGACCACAAGGACATGATCCATGCTTGCTCCGAAGCGCTCAAGTACAAGCACGCTAAGGACGTCTGCACACCGTCGGTCATGTCAACATTCCTCAACCGCATCACAATCACATGGCCCTTCTTCGGTCTTATCGACTTCTGGGCCCAATTCGCTTTCCTCGGTGTTTTCCTCATCGTCTTCGTCACAGCTCTCTTCCGCACCCCCAAGCTCAACCTCTCTCAGATCGACGAAGAAGCCGAGGCCGACGAGGAAGAGAGTCTCCTCGCTTCAACTGGCCGACGATTCGGCGCGACATGGCAGGATGTGCGAGGAAAGGCCAGCAACTCAGGAAACGAATCTGCCACCAACGGCAACGGTTCCCAGTCTGCTGCTTGAAGTTCACGCATAAAATAGTATGAGTTAGTTCAGATTGATGCAGGCATCTTTTTATTTGGCACGGCAACACGGTGGTTCGGAGTTTAGTTTCGCAATATTTGGGTATCTGTTTATAGCACGCAAGGAATGGCAAATGGTAGTGAAGTCTCGCTTGAAATTGAAATGGTTTTATGCTCCTAACGCTACCTTCTTCTTCTTTTCCTTCTCCTTTTTATCCTTGGTGAACTGTACAGCCTTGTGACTCCTCTCATCGAACCCAGCTTGTGGTCCCCGATGCATCTCGTACCAACAACGTGTACAGTAAACGTCGTCGTCACAGCCAGGACATCGCACCGTTGCGTCTTCCAAACAAACGGTACACCAACTTTCCACGTCGTCGTCGGTGTAGTTCGTCCGTGAAGTTAGACGATTCACCGGCTGACCTGAAGGTTTAGATGTTGGTACGGACGGAAGGGCGAGGGAATCTTGATCTGGAGATGGTGCGCGTAGAGCAGCGAGACGGGCGGTTATATCATCTATGTCTACACTCCCAGCCCGATTTGAAGAGGGGATGTCGGCGAGGTCGGAGGGAACGTCTGGAAGAGCGATATCTTCTGTTTTAGACGTAGTTTGTTCAGGTTCGGACTCAGATTCTGAATCGGGGGTTTTGGTCTTTGCGAGGGCTGCTTCGACTTCTGCCTCGTCGCGGAAGCGGGCGATGACTTCATCGACATCTTTATTCATGGCCTCACCATCTGAATCATCTGAATCGCCTTCCTTCTTATCCTTGTCGTCTTCTGTGTCTTTTGGTATTGAGTCTGCGAGCTGTTCTAGAAGTGCTTTGACCTGTGCGTCGTCTGGTTCGGGCTTAAAGCCTTCTTCAGGTTGTACGTCGCCTAGTAGCTCCTCTAGGGTTTGATCGTCTGTTTGGAAGATGGAGTCGTCTTCTTCATCTTCGAGTTTGTGAGATTCCTTCTTTGGAGTATTTTCTGACTGGGGTGTTGGCTTTGATGGTGGTTGGGTTGTCTTTGGTGCTGTCGCTGGTGCCGGTGAAGGTTCATCGCCACGGTCTCGCAGAGACTTGAGACGAGCGGCCAGTGTATCATCTCGAGTAGGCGCCTTTTTGCGCTCAATGAGATCAACTTTGATCCTACGACCATATTAGCTGACAGATCTGACTGAGGCCTGTAGGCGATGTACTCTGTTGATACTGGCTTGTCTTGACCTGCGCTGTTGCCTCTAAGGGCATTTAGACGATCAAGCAGGGACTTGTCGAGATCTTTAGACATAGCTTGCAAGTTCGGCAGGGCTGAGAGCGAGTTCGTATGATGAGTGAGGTTGTTGATGAGATGTTATGATGAAGCGAAGTGAGCTTCAGATGAGGATGGCGGGGGCGGGGTTGTTTGTGCCCAGGCTTGGCTGAGGAGTCAATTTGAGGCTCAAACTCTGGGCGTTATTCAATGGCCATACACGTCACGATCTCTTCATTAAGCGAAAAAGAGCGGACTTGATCAAACATTCAGCCCTATCGCTTACCTTGGTGTCATAAAAGGACGGCATTCACCTTATCGTAGTGTATGTGTGTGACGGCGACAAACATCCCTGCTCTCCACTGCAAACATCACATCACATCACATCATATTCAGGCAATGCATTTTCATGGTTGAAGTGCCTCGATGAGGCAAGAGAATACTGCACAGTTGATTATATTCCCTGCCGCGTCAATTGCGCTGGAATAGAACTTGCATTGGGTTCCAGTCACTCTAGGAATGGAGTTCATCCTGAAGGATTGTGGTGCCTCAAATACGAGATGGCTTAGATGAAGATCACCCGTTCACTGACGACATGCCTACGACCAGTCAACTAACAAGGCAATTGAATGCCTCAACTATTCGACTTGTCATCATGAAACATCATGGCCTTGATATTATATTCAATTGCCGATACCCCTAATCTAATCGTTATCTAAACGCACGTCGACATGCACACGCGTCGCAGCCAAGACTTACGCATGCTCGGAACGTGGGCGGCGCCAAAGTTTAAGCCTCTGCCGTGCATGCATCAGCTATTTTTGCCCATCAGTGATTCAGTGCCTTGAATTAGCGGCCTGCGAAATGGGTCCATGCAGCTGAGAATGCAGAAATCCATGTCTCGGATCCCTTGGATTCGATAAGCGCTAGAGAATGTTGATTCCAAGGTGACGTGGAAACATAAACCAGCCCTGTCTTGCTCTTTTCTTATCTTTTCTTTTGCTGTAATGTTGCTATTCACTCCTTCACAATGCTTGCTATGCCGTCGTTGCGTCTGAGCGCAAGGTCAATACAGATCACAGCAGCTATTGCGTCGATATGGCTCTTCGTCGGCGTTCTTTATCACTACCGCGATGTTTCTTTTTACACACCAAGCAATAATTTTCAGAGCACTACGAAAGCAAGTTCGAATTCGCGCGGTGTTGAATCGATAAAGCTTGGCGCACGATATTTTCTCGATTATCCCTTAAAGGACGAACCGAAGGCGATTTTTGGACAACTTGGACAACGGACAGAATTGCTGCGATCTTGGATTGAGGAATTGGAAGGGCGAGACGACAGTCAAGAGACAGCGGAACTTGTTGCGCAAATTGTGGAACAGCAGTTTCCATGGCTCAATTCGAAGCAGGGTGTTTCGCCGCCTCTCGTCGATATCTACGATCGTCTTGGTCTTTCGTACAGCAGCAAAAGTGTGAAGGCCGATAAAGCACCAGCTGGAATCGTTATCCCGACGGGCGAAAAAACACTCCGATTCGCATGCCATCTCATCGCAGCATTGACGCGCGTCCACAAGACCACCCTACCAATTCAAGTTGTATACGCAGGAGATGATGATTTATCCGCCGCTGGACGAAAAAAGATACAACAAGCTGCTGATGGAGTCAAGATCGAAATGCTCGATGTTCTCACTGTTTTCGACGACAGTACATTGAAGCTTGCTGATGGAGGCTGGGCGATAAAACCGTTTGCTGCATTGGCGAGTCGCTTTGAGCAGGTCATTCTGCTCGATGCAGACGCAGTTTTCTTCCAGGATCCTCGACGTCTTCTTCGTCAAGATCGATTTAAAGAGACGGGTGTACTGCTCTTTCATGATCGATTGCTCTGGAAGAATGGGTTTGCAGATCGTCAGGATTGGTGGCATGATCAGATCAAGCACCCCAGCACAGAGACAGAAAAGTCCCTTGTTTGGACGGAACGATACTCTGAAGAGGGTGACTCTGGGATTGTTGTCGTTGACAAGTCCAGACTTGACGTTCTGCTTGCTCTCCTCCACATTGGCTGGCAGAATTCGGAGCGGGTTCGTAATGAGGTTACCTACAAGATCACATATGGGGATAAAGAGAGTTGGTGGATCGGTTTCGAAGCCACAGGATCCAAGTATGCCTTCTCACCTCATTACGGCGGTATTGTCGGGTGGCTAGGACCCACGAAAGCCGAACTCGACGCAGCAAAGAAGGCAAAAGAAGAGAAGAAGAAGGAGGAGAAAAAGCGCGAGGACAAAGAAGAAGTCCGCGTCTGCAGCTTCGTCATCGCACACGTCGACCAGAACGAGAAACTCCTCTGGTACAACGGCGGCTTACTTAAGAACAAGGCCGTCAACCAAACAGAATTCGAAGTCCCGACACATTGGATGATTGACCAAACATGGCACAAGGGCGGAAGCAAGCAAGCCATGAGTTGCATGGTCGGCACGAAAGCGAGTGCCTTGACAAGCGGAGAGAAGGATGTTTTAGCAAAGTCTATACAAGCAGCGAAGGACATGGATGAAAAGTTACATCTGGTCTGATAAGGACAGACTTGTATTATGTATGTATGTGTAATATAGAGCATCGAACAAGGATAATGTTTTGTACAAGAACGGGAGTCGGAGGTCGGAACCGCGAGATGATCGACATGAAGGATTACGGTCCCTTGTAAATCTGCAACGGATAATTCCTGAAACGCGTGTTCACGGTAAAAGACCGTTGAGAGATTCCGGACCCGGCCCATGTCTTCGGCGCCGTTTCATAGCGTTCGGGACCGTCTCACGCCACCGCGCGCCGGACATGTACGAATGTCCGTATAGAAGACCGTAAGACCGTGAGGAAGAAAATGAGTATAAAAGGGCAAAACACGTCACACAAACACAATCAAGTTAGTTGTAACACAATCCAATCAATTCTTCGATTTAATTTCTCAGCAATCAATTCTTTTGTTCAATCCATTCCAGAGCAAAATGGCACTTCGCTTACCCCTTCGAACCCGCCCTGCGCCGCTCATTGCAGGACTAACTGTTGGAGCAATTGGTATTGCAGTCTGTTCGAAAATGATGTTTGGAACAGCTTCGGCGGAATCTCGTGAAGCGCAGAAGATTTTGAAGGGGGGCTTTGCCGCGGTTAAGCTGCCGTTGCATAGTTCGGAGGATGAGACGCATGATACCAAGAGGTTGAGGTTCAAGCTGCCTCAAGAGACTGCTGTTTCTGGACTCTCACTTACTTGTGAGTTTACTACGCAGGGTATGCGAATCGCTGCTTACTGAGTATAGCCGCTCTGTTGACGTTTACATGGCCTGAGGGATCTTGGCTACCTACGCCGAGACCTTATTCTCCCATTTCACCATCTGGTTAGTCACCTATCTATAGACCCAAAGGGATTACTAACTTGGGTAGACGAACCCGGCTATGTAGAACTCATGGTCAAGAAATATCCCAACGGCAAAGGAAGCGGCTATCTCCACTCCCTCAAACCAGGCGACAAGCTCTTCATCCTCACCACCCTCCCCGGCTACAAATGGAAGCCCAACACCTTCTCGCACATAACCCTCATCGCTGGCGGCTGCGGCATAACACCGATCTACCAACTCGCCCAAGGAATCCTCCGCAATCCCGAAGACAAAACTCGCATGACTCTTGTGTTTGGCGCAAACACGGATGAGGATGTTCTGCTGAAGAAGGAGCTCGATGGTTTTGCGAAAGAGTTTCCGGAGAGGTTTAGTGTCAAGTACACGGTTAG